GCAAATGAACAAATAAGACCTACTCATGATAATGAGTCCAAATACCCTGATTGTGAACATTTGGAAAAACTATCTGGAATTGTGATTGGCATTACTAGTCAAGGTGTACCCGGTGTTGAGAGAACTTCAAAATTGTCTGGGAAGAAATATATAAGTTCTTCGAGAAAAAGTGATAGAAAAATTGTCAGGGAAGAAATATATAAGTTCTTCGAGAAAAAGTGATAGAGTTCTCCGGTCAAAATCACAAGAGAAACCTAAAGCTCCCGAGTCGAGTAATAATTCAACTAATGTTAATTCCACTGGTGAGGAAAAAGGGAAAAGGAGGAAAAAGAGAAGAGGGAAAAGTATAGTGGTTGATGAATATTCCAGAATCAGGGCACGTCTTAGGTACTTGTTGAATCGGATGAGCTATGAGCAAAGCTTGATCACTGCTTATTCTGGGGAAGGCTGGAAAGGACTTAGGTATGTACTATTCACTTTTCTATAGCCTTTTCTTGTGTTTTGTTTTCGGTTAATTTTGTCATCACGTAATGTTTTTGTTTTGATTTTAGTACTAAATTTTACAATATAGAAAGTTAAATCCAAATTTAAGTGCTGGCTATCTACCGTAGATTTATTGTTTTTGGAAATTGAATACAAGTTAATCTGCGAAGCCAATTTCAGAACAAAAAAATAGATCAGGGATTTTTTTTTTAGATAAACTTGCATGGTGTTCAAAAGTTATTCACATTGGATAATATATGTGATGCTTGGCCTTTGAACCGGATGATCATCATTATTAATTGATTCCATAACAAGAAGTGCTTAATAAATGAGCAGTGGGATTTTTAAAGGATGCTGATTTAATTTTTTTGAAACAAGGAATTGAAGATGATATTAGTTCAACGCTTAGTGTTATTGCCAAGTAATATCCCTCTTCTCTAGTGCATCTTTCTCTGTGGGCTCACAGTTTCTCATTCCAGCCAAATGTTTTTTTCTCCAAAAAATTTTCATTGCCTATATTATGGTGTACATGACTAAATATATCAATATCTTCATCAAGGAGGCTAATTTGAGGGATCTAAGGTATTGAATTTATATGTAAGATTATGAGAAATAGAAGAAAACCTTTTTGTTTATAAATGAAATCCAGTTTGACCTGCCCTTTAAAATGATGCAATCCCGTGCTGTTTCTTTACATTATATGTGTATTGATCTGTTCTCCACTGGAGAGCTTATCTGTAATTGTTTCTTTTTGTTTATATGTGTATTGGGCCACCGTGCTGTAATTTTTTTCTCCTTCTCATTCTTCAAACAGCAAGCTTTTATCCATGCTAGAACCAGATTCTCACCAAGAAAAGTCTGCACCTTTTTCTGGAAAAAGAAATATAGAAAGATTGGACTACAAGAAGCTCTATGATGTGAGTGCCTCTGATCTTATAGCATATGAAACAGGATTCCTGTTATGTGGTCTTGATGTTTTTCTAAGTTGTTGCTTAATGCACTATTATTTCAAGCATGATCATATAATTAGAGTTAATCCTGGTCTTTTGTTTCAAATAGGTGTTTTGCCTGCTTCTTGTTGAGAAGCGAAGACATTGTGATTCTTGCCATATAAATAAAACTATTTTTAACCTGACTAGTGTCTGTTCCACTCCTTTTCAGAGAAGAGCATCAAATATAGGGAAGGAATTATTGATAGATGTCATGCACTATAATACTCATGGAATTACGATAATTATAAAAGCAGAATTTTCCATTCTTTGTAACATGTTAATGCCATATATGGATGACTCTTGGAAGCAAATATAATGGTAATGCTTCCATATGAATGTATGTAGTGCCCACACATTTGTGTACAAAATAGTTTGTGCCACATCATAGATAACGCTACATATATCAAAATCTTTAGTAATTTTTTCTTTTCATAAACAATAATATAAAGCTTCTCAGGCAAAAACTTTCTCGGAATTATTTCACATTAAATTTTGTCCACCTTCTGTCCCCATAGAGGTATAAACTTAGTTTCAAATATTAAGATTTTATTTTTGATATGATGCAACTTTTTAATCATATGATTTTTTCTCTCAATAGCTTGATTTCTTGTTTCTGTTCTCTATTTGTGAAGGAAACGTATGGAAACATTTCTACTTCAAGTGATGATGATTACACTGATACTGTTGCACCAAGGAAGAGGAGGAAAAACACTGGAGATGTTGCTATGGGGATAGCAAATGGAGATGCTTCTGTTACTGAGAATGGAATGAATAGCAGGAAGATGAATCAGGAATTAAAGAAAAATGAGCATAGTTCTGGGAGAACTCGCCAAAACTCGAGCTTTCAAGATACAAATGTTTCCCCAGCAAAAACACATGGAGGCAAATCTCTCTCTGGTTCTAGCACTAAAAGATTTAGGCCCTCTGCTTATAAAAAACTTGGAGAAGCTGTAACTCAGGTATGTTTTTGTGAGCTATTTATTTAATATTTTCAATAGTACTAATAATTCATAAAACCTCTTGTGAGTTGAAGATATGCCATTATCCGGTATCATCTTCTCATCAAGGTGCTGGGTATTATTGAAAATGTGCAGTATGATTTTTCCTTTGCCCTCCGTGTTTCATATTATTCTTTAATCCTTCAATTGTATGCCGGTCTGTGTTGAGTTAGCATTATTTTTAGGCTTCAAAGTTTGCTTTAACAAATTATACTTGTGCATGCAAGGTTCAGAAATGATTCAATTACATAAGAAACTTTTCAAGTGCTTTGCAAAAGCTGCTTATTTAGTTGTTGAAGAAAGAAAAATATCAAAGATTGATATGGAGACTGGGGAGATTATTATTTATTTTCAATGTGAAAAATGTTGAAATCAAGTCTTTGCCAGCTCCTGGTTTCGAGAATTTTTTGATATCATGGTGTTATACCCTTGTCAGTGTTCTGTTTGGAACAATAATAGATCTTGCAACTTCATTTTTGGTCCCCCCCAACTCCCTCTCTTTCTGATACACATATACACACAAAGGATGACAAGGTTAAGGCGATGATCATTCTTGTATGCAGAAACTGTACAGTTTCTTCAAGGAAAATCAGTATCCTGACCATGCCGCAAAGGCAAGTTTGGCAGAAGAGCTAGGAATTACTTTTGAGCAGGTCATACAACTTGAAAATTGTTTAATTCTTTTTAAAATTAACTTTCATTTGGGTGAAAGATAAGAGAACATAGTTTCAGGTTTTCCTAATGTAGAAGTTGTATTATGCAGGTTAACAAGTGGTTCATGAATGCTCGTTGGAGCTTCAACCATTCATCACCTGAAGGCACAAGTAAATCTGAAAGTGCTTCAGGAAAGGGTAGCTGTGAGGGACATGTGAGGCATAGTGAATAGAAGAGCCGAAAGAGCAATAAACAAAAAACTAGTACCCCAAAATCCAGGAGATAGTGTGAGGTAGATCTTCAAAAATATTTTATTGAATCAAGAATGGAGGAAGCCGAGGTCTCCTTTCAATTTGCACAAAGCTCTTGTGCAAATTGTTGGTCGGGAAATCCATTTTATTCTACGATCCTAGTAGACGAACTGACCATTTACCTTCTGCAAGAACAAGATGCTAGGAGATAATATACTGGTTTTATTGCGAACGAGACTAACTCTGCCATGAAGGTGACGCCATGACGCTGCTGTTGTGCTGTAATTGGTGATTCGCTCACTGCTGTTATCTTTTATTAGCAAGTTGCCTTATTTTAATTCAACTCCATTCACAAGGAATTTTACAATAAAAAAAAAAATGTTGAGCGAGTCCAGCTCATCATCAATTCCTTTATTTTTCATTTTTTCAATGAGATTATAATTTGTTCTCTGTGTTAGCCACCAGTTTATGCACAATTTCCTTCTAGTTCGATATTGCATTGCCTCAAGTATGGAATTTGGCATGCAACCTAGAACATAGAGAAACAACATCTTAGAAAAGTCATGTTTGGCAATTAACAGAAAATCAGTGGTCTTTTATTTCCTTAACTGGGGACATGAAGGAAGGTATTTTGATTTTTGATTATTGTCTCTGATCTAAGTCGAAGAATGCATGCCCGTTTTGGCAAGAGTGAAAAGAGGAGATGTAAAAGCAGCTATCCAGCCAGGTGATCAATGCAGTAGTTATTGGTGGGTTTTACTGATCAAATGATTTATAACTTCCCTGTCTTGTTTTTCTTTTCCCAAGAAATAGCATTATTCTTTCGGAAATAATCCAAATATAGAAAATTAAACGAATAAATACTTTGGCTCGATGTAATTCTACAAATCTCTAGTGGAAAAACACTGTATATGAATCTTTGTTTATTGTGTGTTTTAATAGTATATTGATGGTTTTGTTCTTGAAAAAACTCTCAATAAACCTTCTTTAATTAAGTAAAAATTGATGGTTTTTTAAATGAAATAATCCATATAATTAAACAAAAATTGTTTTTTTTTTTCTGAGTATTAAACACAACTAAGTTTAGAGGAGAAACAAGTTAAGTTTACTATTTTTTAATTAATTGAGGTTACTGTTTTTTTTAAGGTAATATGGTCATTTTACTTAATGTTTATAGTAATAATTTTTTTTATATATATTTTATTCATTGATGTTGAATTAATTGAGAAATATATTTTATAAATAATATTTTTTTTTATTTTATTTAGAATTATCATAAATTATAAATATTTATTTTTTAACATATAATTAAATAAAAATTATTTTTTTAAAAAAATTATTAAATTCAATTATTTATTAACCGAGTTGGGTATGATAAGAGATATCTAATATGCTATCCTCTTAATATTTTAAAAAATAAATTTTTTTTTGATTTTTTATAAGTTTGCCAATGTATTTTTTATGTCATTTGAATTTTTTTAATTAATTGAGGTTACTGTTTTTTTTTTCAAATTAAGTTGCTATAATATATATAAATGCAAAATAATACTTAACTGAGGTTTAATTTTTTTTTTTAACAAAAAAATTCACTTTTAGAGCTTGATTTCAAGGACTTATACTCATCTTAAAGGCAATATAGTCTATTTACTTAATATTTATAGTAATAATTTTTTTTCATATTTTATTCATTCATGTTAAATTAATTGAGAAATGTATTTTATAAATAATATTTTTTTATCTTATTTAGAATTATTAGAGTCTTGTTCAAATATTTTTATAATTGTAAGTATTTAATTTTTAACATATAATTAAATAAAAATTATTTTTTTAAAAAATATATTAAACTCAATTATTTATTAACCGAGTTAGGTATAATCAAAGCTATCTAATATACTACTCTCTTAATATTTTAAAAAATAATTTTTTATAAGTTGGTAAATGTTTTTTTCCGGTCATTTAAATTTTCTTTTAATATATTAAATCAATTAATTCATATTAGGTTTTTTTTATATAATCTAATTAAAAACTTGTGTTAGAAAAGATTAATAAATTTTAAAATTTACTTACTTATTTAATTTAATAGTATTATTAAAAAAATCTCACTCTCTTAATATTTTTTTATATATATATTAAAAAAATTAAGTAGAGCTGTCGCGTGCCGATGGCTAGTTCGGCCTACTAAGTGTGTGTTTGTGTTAGTGGTGAAACTTGTGGTTTGGATATAGAACTATTAAAAAAGCTAAGAAAAGCAAAAAATATTAGTTTTTATAGTTGAGTTTTGTGCATAAATAAATTGTAGTCAACCACAACCTCAACCGTAAAAATTAAATCAAACACTCCCTGAAGTCTTCAGTTCCACGCCAAAAACTGATGTTATTCTTACCTACTGATTAAAAAAACATCTTGATTCCTGGGTGAAGATACTGAGACAAGGGCTTCGCCTTTCCAGTCTGATCGAACTAATGTTTTACGACCATGAACCTGTCCCTTGACAAACCCGAAGTTCCATGGAATAAGTGTGGAATTAGTAAGTAGATTAGTTTTCATATTAGCGTCTCGGATCCAGCTAACGACACCCTTTACTGTCATTTCATTTCTTTATTTTATTATTATCTAAATCAATTTTATTAAAATAACAATAAAAACAAAACAACATTTCATGCAATTTTTACTCTTTCTATGATATTATTCATTGTACATTTTTTCCTATTTTTAATTATATTATTTAAAATTATATTAGCATAGTTTTATATATCAAGAATCTTTTTTACATATTTCAGCATTGGGTTAAGGACTGATTTCATAAAATGGCATTTTAGATTGTAGTTAGAAAATAAATTAAAAAAAGAAGGATAAAAATAATAATAATAAAATTATGGATCCAACTATGAAATTTTTTTCTTGATATATTTAAATTTATCATCTCTAAAAAATAAAATAAAATTCTAAGTAACTATAGAAATTAAGTTAAAGAAAAGTAATCATAGATGGACTGCCTAATTTATTCTTTAAAAAAATATTACCAAATTGGATGTTCTTTTTCGGCCCAACCCGAACCCGCCAAATCTCGTACCCGAAACGCCTAAAACTTCAAACCCAGGAAGGCCAAAGCAAAGCAGAAAAGCTGCAACGCAACCGAAAAAAATCACGGCAATGGAGTTGGAAGTAGATGACAAAGACCTTAAAGCCGCTGGCGCCGAGATTTTAACCGACGGCCACCATGGACTACGCATCCACGGCTGGGAAATCGTGTCCTACAAGGGCTCCATTCTCAAGTCCTCCTCTGTGATCACGTATTCTCTCTCTCTCTAAATTAGTTTCAAATTTGCAATCATTTTAAGTTTCTCATGAGCACCTGAGTACAAATTGTTAATTTTTGAGTCTTTGATGCTTGCTGTGAACGCTGCAGATGGGAAGAGAAGCTAGAAACTTCTCATTTACCGGAGATGGTTTTTGGAGAAAGTTGTTTGGTGCTTAAACATGTAATTAGTGGTGCCAAAATTCATTTTAATGCATTTGATGCCTTGACTGGATGGAAAAAAGAGGCTTTACCGCCGGTTGAAGTTCCTGCTGCTGCACAATGGAAATTTAGAAGGTAATTTTATGTATTTGCTTCATTTTGTTTGGAATTAATTTCATCCAACTGTACGGCATCCTGAAGTGCACCGCGGTAATAGACAGTTGAATTTTTGATTTAGTAATGTGTGAGAGTTTAGCTAAGAGACATTGTTTTTGGCTTATGTTAACACTTTTGAATTTAATTTGCAGCAAACCATTCCAACAGGTGATATTGGATTATGATTATACATTCACGACGCCTTATTGTGGTTCTGAAACAATTGGATTAGATATGGAGAAGGTTTGTTCTTTTACTCAAAAAACTTTTTTGTTGTATTTGGAGGGGAATAAAATATTTTGTTGAAGCCATGTTCAACACAACTTGCGGACTTGATGGATTAATTCATGTCCTCATTGAGAATTTTTATGTTTGCATTTTTTATTTTAATGTTAAATTTTCTGTTTTTCTTTTCTTCGTCATTTATGCTTCATTCTGTCATTTTTTTCCATAGCTTCTAAAATAGTTCCTGATTAAAACTTTTTTTAGGATGTTTGGGTTTACTGTAAAGGCTACGAAATGATGGGTTTTTTTTTTAATTATGTTATTTATGGCTGAGATTGATCTCTGATGAATAGCAGTCATAAGTTGGTTCAGATATAGTGTAATTAAGCTTTCGTTAAATATAAAAAAATGGCTATCCTCTTCCTCATGCCAATATGAGATCATATCCTTGGTTTTGTGATCAGAAAGACAGTGGGGAAATTTTGGAGGCTAGCTGCAGCCCCTGTTGGGAAGACTGTGAAGAGCAAATTGATGTGGTTGCACTTGCATCAAAAGAACCTATTCTTTTCTATGATGAGGTTGACCCCTTGTGCTACACTAGGATCATAAATTCATTAAACCATATTCATTTTCTCTTCCTGGCATTTGTGGGTGTATCTTGATGAAATAATCTGTTTACTTCCACAGGTAGTTTTGTATGAAGATGAACTGGCTGATAATGGGGTTTCACTTTTAACTGTAAAAGTGGTAAATGCTAAAATACTTGCTAATTGTTCCAAGCACTGATATGATATGCTGCTGATAATCAGATGCTAAAGAACTGTTTGTGTCCTCTTTGAATTTTGTAGAGAGTCATGCCAAGTTGTTGGTTTCTTCTTTTACGCTTCTGGGTGAGTTAATCGTCATTATTTACTCAATTTTCTCATCCATTGCAGTAAAAACAGCTCTATTTCTATGCATCTGCATGTGTGCATGCATCAATGCTTAGCGTAAAGAAGCTCTAAACAATTTTTTTTCTCCTGAAAGGGGACATATTTTTCTTCACTTTTTACATTGTTACACCAAATCAATCTCTCTTTTTCACTCCCTTCTGTTACAGCTTAGAGTTGATGGAGTGTTAATGAGATTAAGGGATACTCGTATGCATTGTGCTTTTAGTGATAGTGCAAATCCTGTCATTCTTCGAGAAAGCTGCTGGAGAGAAGCCACCTTTCAAGCTCTGGCTGCTCTTCCCTCTCTCTCTCTCTCTCTCTCTCTCTCTCCACACACACGCACAACCATAATAATGAGCACGTGTATGGCTAGATGTGTGCCTTTGAACATGTTTGCTTGTATGTGTTCATGAGAATGACTATTTCATTAGCTTTATTTTCCAAGTTTCTACTCTTTCATGATAGAGATGGATTCTTTTCTGAGTGTCATCGTGGGAATGATCACCTGTTTTTTGTTATAAAAATAGCAGTAGTGTGCAAATAGCTTTCAAAAAATGTATCTAAAAGAGTGAGGAGCGAAAAGGCAAGCAAATCTGGATAGAAAAGACAGATACAGAATATTTCGAGGATGAACTGAATAAGCTCTCTAGCATCTCCTGCGAAACTTAGGCACAGGACATGCTCCTGTCTAAAATACATGTTTCTGTTCTTAACAGATCTTTGAATCTTGTAATTTCTGTACTATTGGGTATTTCTACAAAATTTCCACATAAGTTGGTTCTACTTGGAAGTGTGTGGCCTGGTGCACATGTAAATATATTGCATTGATATAATATCACAGTATTATACTGAAATTCATTATGTTTTTGGATATAGATCTCTCAAGATGCATCCACATAGGCTATCTAAATCAGCTCATATTGAATTTTATTTGTCTTCCTGTTCTCAGAAAGATATCGGCTTTTATTTATTTATTTTTTTTCTGTAGGTATTTAGAGCCTTGCATAGATATATTTCTAAATGTTGCATGGTTGACTTGTGTAACATGTAACAACTGTTTTCCTATCCTTGTGCATTTTATTCCTGTAATGTTTTTTTTTGCAGAAAGGATATCCTACTGATGCTGCTTCATATAGTGATCCAAGCATCATCAGCCAAAAGCTTCCTGTTATCATGCATAAGACTCAAAAGCTTGTGGTCCACAGTAACTTGTAAGGCTGTAAATTGTCTTTGTGCATGAAGATTTGAATTGTTTACTATGTTGAGGTCATATAGAAATCAAGTCCTTTCTGGTGGATTCAATTCTCCTAGTGGGTTTTTAAGTCACTCTTGTTACATCAACAAGCTATCTTATGGATTTATTTGTGGAAAGAGGAAAAAAAAAAAAACAATATCCTCTGGATAAACAATGATATTGTTTAAGATATTCTCTGTACATGTTTGTATAATTGTTTCCATGAATCAGGTGAGAATATGATGTAGAAACTAATTGGAATACATGAAAATGACATTGCTACTAGGATAAACTGATATATATAAGCACTAGGAGAACATATGAGCCATGTTTAGAGTGTAGAAAAGAAGCACAATAAGAAGGCCTCAAAGCTTTTTTAGTGTTTCTATCAAGTGAAATGCATCACAACTGTTAAGTGAATGAAGGAGGATAAGAAGTGCACAGATGACAAGAGAGCAGGGAAGCGAAGAGTTCACAGAACTCTTTACAAGGGTGAAGAAAACCTAGCCACCATCAAAGATAGATAATATCCCCTTATGTGACATTGCTACTTGGCGTTTCCCAACCATATTCATGGAGAAAATCAAGTTGGGCCTTAGAAGATTGACATTTTCAACTGATTAATACCTATAAAATAGAGTTGTATTTGAAAAAATATGCCTATGAGCGAGTATGGTTTACTGAGCATGTTGGAATGGAATTTGCAAACAAAACAATTGAGCACTGGATAAAAGAGCTGTATGCAATATTGGAGAAACTGATACAAGCTAAACATGCTATGCAAGAAGATAAGGGCCATAAAGGCAAGGAAAAGTGTGCCATTATGAATAGCAGAAGAGTTTATGTATTATATCAAATTTACTTTGCTTCTTGGGTAGTCAAATTCCATGGACTAGAGTATTGGTGTATTGTACAGAGGTTAGATTCAGGTTCACCTTTCTTCAGGTAGTTGCTGTTTTCTTATGGCCAGTTTAACTTTGTCTATGCCAGGCTATCTTTAGGTCATATAAAAAAAAAAAAAAAATCAACCAAACCTTAATCCCAAATTAGTTGGGTCAGCGAAATGGATCTTTGTGATTTTTTACTAATTTTGGAACATATAAGCAGAAAAAAAAGGTAATGTGAAATGCAAGATGTCACATGGAGAGCCATATTGCATATTGTTAGGATGTTATTGTTTTCCTTCCATTATCATCTTTCCCTTCTTTGCATTTTATCTGGTTTGTGTTAAGATGTTCCAAGCAATGTTTGTACGTTAAGATAACTTATTTGTGTAAAAGAATAATTACCTGTGGTGTATAATAGATAATCATTGCACCAAAAAAAAAAAAAAACACTGCATATACAACTTCTAATTAAAATAAGTAAAAATGTCTAATAATGTTAAACTGCTTTATCATTATTTTTAAAAATGATAGCTTAATAACTAATGGCGTGAAATGGTATGATTATTGTACCAAAAAAACTTCATTATCACTTAGAAAAGAAATGTACAGTGGCTCAAAACTGGAAGTTGATGATTAGGATTGAAGGAATCCCTATAGTTAGCTGCCATATAAATATGGTTATCTGGCATTTATTTTTCCAGAAATTGAACTGAAGAGTTGGGGTATTTTCTAGGTTTCTCGTACATGACGTGCACACTTGGCAGAGCATTTTCCATGTTTCTTCTAGAACCAGGCAGAATCTGTATGATTTTTAACACTTCATAAGGTTGGTTGCCCACCTGTGTTAGTTTCTGTATTAGATGGTTCGTCAAAAACTGTTCTGCGAGAAGAAAATTTGGAACCACAACAAAGGGATTGATTAGAGTCGAAGGTTCAAGTCAAGCTTGAGTGACTCTGATGATGTCTCTGGTGGTTGTGGATCCAAGCGAAAGCTGCCTGGCCATGTCAAATCCGTTGTATCATCAACTGTGAAGGGCATCCATGACATATCAAATCCTGAACTGGCTTCATTAAATCTCCCTGCAATAGCCGTTCCATCTTTATTTGGCTTGTGCACAAGGGTGTGGGGCCTGACCCCAAGTGATCTAGCCATCGGAGAATTCACTGGCAAACCCATTATTGTCATCATCCTCTGGGAGTGGTATCTTCTCGCTGCACCCCTCTCCCTTTTGTGGGCGTTCTGATGACCCCCGAGTGCCTGTGAGCTGAAGAACTTCCTTCTACAGAAGTTACATGAGAAAACCTTGCTAGAAGTAGGTCTTGATTGTGAGTCATAGTCTCCTGCTGTTGAGGGTGAATTTCCACCTAGGCTCAGATTCAGCCACTCTCCTGGATTGTTATCATCATACCCTTCATTGCTATTGTTGCCGTTCAAAATCTCATTTTGATGTTTGAGGGTTTTTATTTCAATTGCTTCTTCCTGGAAGATCATATCTTCACCAATCTGAACTTTCTTAGAGTTTTTTTAGTGTATCTTCACCAATCTGAACTTTCTTAGAGGTGTGTGGAGGGGAGATGAATAGGGAAAGGGTGGAAGAATTGCAGCAGACTTGGAGGTGTAGACCGAAGTAGGAGAGGGGAAACAAACGGAGATGGATTTAACAATGGAAATGAAGTTGAGTTTATTTGGTCTCAATTCAGCAACCCCACTAGTGGCTTGGTGTATCATGGGGCAATGCTTATGTCATTTGACCGTTGCCCTTGTCAAGCTTAGGATTCCCCACTTTCTTCCACCTTCTTTACCTTTTCACTCCTCAAGCCAAGCCAACTTTACATGGTTCTCTTTTGGATTAACGAAGGAAACTCATGGTTGACAATCAACAATAATTCAATCAGTCGTCAAACTCATATGATCTTAAAATCAGTTGATTCTGCCTTCAGTGCTTCTTATATCACGTAAACATATAAAATTATCTGTCTTCAGTATAAAGGTTCTAAGATTCGGGTTTATTTACGTAGATGATGGGTGGATCTACTCGCCTTTGTAGATAAATGTGAACATGCAGAAGTGTCCATTTTTTAAGTGATTTTGATTACAGTTGGATCCCTTTGTTGATAGCAAGCCATCCATCTCTGCAGATAGGATCACCAGTAAATGATTCTTATTCACAATAACTATCTGTTTCAATGCTTTTCTTCTTCAGCGTATCTAAGGTAAACAATATATTTCTATAATGGTGGGCACAAGTTACCGAGAGGGACATTTGTAGTGTTCAATGCTGTCAAGTCGGTATGTTATGTGATAACGACATTGAAAAGATGCATTTACTATTCGGAGAAGGGAGTAAGAGATAAGCTTCAAAGCTCTATGGAAAAATTGATTTCAGTGGTGGTAGGGTTCCTTTGTTATCTGATTGCCTTTTGATTTAATGTTGGTGGGGGCTGAATCGTGATGGGAGCAAGGAATTGCCAATAATTGTGTTTAAAGCAAGAATAAGATGGAGTGGTCTCTTGCCAGTTTAATATTGTTTTCCTTCAGACAAGAGTATCCATGTGGGGGTCTTCGTCTAGGAGTTTCTCGGGCAGATTTTTTAAACGCTTGGTGGCCAATGTTTATGTACAAACAGAGAAGTGCATTACCAGCCATTTGTACTTATTTTGGAGCTTGGAATGTTATAATATAATAATTCTTTGTTCTCCCTTTCTTAGAGAGAAGCGTGCCCTTAGAGAGGTTAGAGACCTGTGGGAACAGGCCGAGGATAAGAGGTTGTGTTGTTGACAGTTAAATGAGTAGGCAAACACTGAGAATTGTCCCATACTCCTTGGATTTGGAGCACTTGAAAAGGTATATTGTTTTTTGGTCTATGAAGCTTGCAACTTGGTTGTTTTTTCTTGTAGCTATATGCGGTGCTGAATATTATCCTTTGATGCATAATTACATGCTCGACTAACGTCACGAGGATGTAGAAATGAACAGTTGGGTAAAGACAATTTTGGAGTTAGGTCTATTGTTTGGTGTTTAGCACACTGCTCTAGTCAACTTTCTATTATTCACAATCAGGATCATCTCTGACTCCTAACCAACGCACAACCCTCTCAATCTATCCATTTCTGATTCCTTACCCATTATTCATGTGGCACTTGATATTACACAGGACAATGCTTTAGAGTCCTTTTGAACTCTTTTTTTAATGGAGTTTTTCAGGTTTAAAGTTTCCCATTTGATGTCATGACAAGTGTTAAGAAGGGTTTGTGCGGAGAAGACTCGAACATAAACGGAAAGGGATTTCGTACAGCACTCTTTCTGAGACTAGAATTCTCCTTCGCTTTGGGACTTCAATAGCTGTATCTGGGCGTCTCCCCTGTGAAACACTGCCTCGCTTGATTGTCAGATCAAATGTGTTGTGGGTAATTATCAACTTTTTACGCTGGCAAATCGTGGGTTTCACAGTGGCCATTAAAATACAGCTTGTATTTTCCTTGAGATTAGAAGGTGGAAGTACAGCTTGTATTTTCCTTGAGATTAGAACTTGGATGAGAGAATGTTTTTGATTGTTTTTTAAAGTATTTTTTATTTAAAATATATTAAAATAATATATATTTTTTTATTTTTGACAAATTATTTTTGATATTACTATATCATCTAATATAATAAAAAAATATTAATTTAAAGTAAAATAAATAAATTTTTTTTATTTTTTAAAATATTTTTAAAACTTAAAATATTTGATATAAGCAAAATGCCAGCATCATTTGGTGACACATCACATCGGTTAATTGGAGAGCAATTGAAAATGGTTGAATGGGGCTTCAACAGTACGATTGGTCAAATAAGAGCGGCACAAAATGGTTTTAATCAATGTCCCACTGTAAGTGCATAAAAATGGAATGCGAATAGTGGTGATGCAAAGTGACCTGTCCATCTCTTCTACAAACTCGGTTCACGTTAGTTTTTCTTGGAAGAACTAGCTCGGAGGTGGAAAAGGATAGACAAGAATCTCCGTGGTTAAAGCTCCGCTTGGCTACTCTTGTGTGTCACTTCCAGCTGTGAAAGTTCTTTTCATTTCATGTGCTGTCGGTGAAAAAAAGAAAGAAGCAAATTTTCTGGGAACAAGTTTTCTGTTGTTGGCAGGCAAGGTTCTTACGTAATTAGGACAATCAGGAGATCCATCACTATTCAGGGGCCGATGGCTTGCTTCAGTGGACCATGGGTGTTTGAGAATTTTATTATAATTGTTTTTTAAATTTTATTTATTTATTAATATATTAAAATAATATTTTTTAGTTTTTAAAATTTATTTTTAATATCAATTTATCGAAATAACTTAAAATATAAAAAAATATATTAATTTAATAAAAAATTAAAAAATTTTAAAACTACTTTCCAAAGGCAAAACAAACAAACAAACAAACTTACTTGGCTCCCTTATAAGATAAAATGCCAACCACTTGTTCATTCATGACTTGCCTTTTCCTGGGATCAGTTCATGCAGAATATGGACGTTTAACAAGTGACTGTGGCCCCGAATTATATACCCTTTCACCGAGTATCGATTCCACTGCTTTCATTTAGCCAATGGCCTGTTGCACAATGGCACAAGCTTCCTCTACAAAGGAGAACGAGTGGTAATCATCTGAAGAGCTTATTCGGTTGTTTCTTTGTTGCACAGGACGGGTTCTGAGCTTCCTCATTAACATTCAAATTTGTCAAACTTCTTGACTTTTCTCAGCAAGCCCATAGGATTGAATGGCCTCAATATGTATTTGATGAGCAGATGAAACTGAGCACTATAAGATTGTCTAATGGGAAAGAAAACAGGACACGAGACATGATTAAAACTGTCTTTCGTTGCATTCCGCACGGGCTCCATTCACTAAAACACCAGTACGAGTAAGATTGTATTATCCCAATTCATTCCCATGTATCAAAAGCTACCAACACTCTGACTGGAAATCTATACTTGTACGGATCTGACATGCATTTGATCTCAAGATAGTAGAGAGCTCTCTTTTCAGCTTCTAGACTAGCATTAGTCGCATTAAAATGAAGGTGTTTGGAGGTGGCACCTTCTCAGATCCTCACAAATGGCAATGACATTAACGCCAAAATATGGATGCACAGTGTGCTACACGATTGACACCACCAATATGGAGCGGGGTCCAGGTGCACGAGCTGAAAACGACAGCCCTCGTGCTGTTTGTTCATAGAATACAACTAATATGAGACACTAGTCAGGTGCGGCATCCCATGCGTTCACCAGGTGTTCCTCCACAAGAGAGTCAAAAGGTAAACATAATTCAGATGCAGCATCTCAACCTAATGCTACGTGACTGTACCTTGCTCGTCACCATCAATAACTTTTGGGAAATACATACTCTCTCCTTGGAGAGCAACCCAGCCATTGCATGGAACAAAATCTCACCAATACCAATGCAAGTTCTAGAAACCATACTTGAAAGATCTAGCATCTAGTTTTAAGAAAACGGATGCTGGATGTCCAGTTAAAACTCCAAGCTTTTTTTTGAACCATGTTAAAGCCACGTCCCAAGAATTCCCCTCCACTTTTGGGTACTCCATGATAGCACCACACATCATCTAGCACTTACAGAGGGGTAGTGGATGGCCCGAAAAAACCCTTTCATTTAATAAACAGGGACATAAATTCCAGAAACTAAAGCAGGTCCGATAGTGATAGTGAAGCATCAACAGCAGGACCTTGCGGAAACAAGGTATAAATCAAAGGAACAGGCAAATAAACTTATACGCAAATATAGTTGCCTATAAAACCATAAAATTTGATTGTCCCAAGAGCATAGGAAATCTAACATTGATCTCAGATGTAGCATAGAACATGACATCTTTATTCAATATGCATATGCCAAAAAGCCTAACATCCTAAAAACCCGAAGGGTACTCCATTCACCGACTTGCTTCAAACAATGTTACACTTGATTTTGCTAATCTAAAGGCTCTTCAAGTACCTGCAACAACAGCGTAAGTGGTTCAAAATCCATGCAGGAATTCTGCATCAGAAAACCGTAGTTTTTTTGGGGCATAATTACTTCAAGCAGTAAGAAACTTAGAGTTCAATAGCAGCAAAGTATTGAATTCGAAGGTTTCTAATTTCAGATCTTAATCTGAAATTTGGAATAATCCTTGTTGCTAATAACCACATGAAAACTGGCTAATTGATTTAGAAGTCAGCCTTTCCAGTGCAGATTACGGAATCTAGTGGCTTATAGGGACATTTAATTTTCATTGCGATGGAACTGTCAAGTAATAAAAACAGAAAAGGAATACACCTTGGTTTTTGCTTGTAATTTGCAGGAAACTATACACAATAAAGGAAGAAAATGGAAGACAAAATCTGAATCTGGCCTATCATGTCGACAGAAGAGAATCCATTGAATTTTAACTTCCAAATGCATCACTTGAGATGTGTCTCCCATGGGATCAAGCAATGACACTTACATGCAATCATACTGAGAAAACTAACACACTAAAAAGATTTATTTCTCATTATTTTTTCTATCAGCAGTAAAGAAAAAAGAATATGCACGAGTGGGTTGCAAACCAACTTATGATGACAATATTAGAAAAAAAACACAGCAATAACAATAAATGAAGAAAAATGCTACTAATTGCAATGTGTTCGTTATCTTAGAAGCAAATGGAGACAAGTTTCAGCCCAAGTAATATTAACAGATTTGTACAGAACCCTTTCAATATTAACAACTAAAATGATCAGGAGAGAGATATCTCATCTCCCAGCATAAGAATCTAGAAACATAAAACCCTTGCAAATGGTCATTTTGAAATGAATGAAGCAATAGACTATATGCCTCAAAAACTTATCTTGAAGACTCTGGTTTCTCTTTGGACTCAATACAGATGCACTACATTTATGTTTTCTACGAACAAGAAACAAGAACAAAACGAGAAACCTCCAATTGTGGCATCAATTCTGCGCCTTTAGCTGACAGTAAGTCCAAGTCACCCATCTTTTCCTCCTCCCTATCAACCCCAATCCCAATTCCTCTCATCAACCAGGTTTCATGAAACCAACAAAAACAAATCTACTTCATAACGTAAGTTTGACAAATTTGAGGAAAGAACTCAAAAATTTTTACTCTTCCCAATCAAAGTTATTCAGGGCAGCAGTTCAATACCAACTTTTTCTTTGTTGTGTGCCCTAGAAACAGTAAGACTCACAAAGAAACTATTAACGATCCGGACAAGTACGGCAGAAGGTACCATGAGACAGCTCACAGAAAGCCCGCAGATTAGCATTGAGACGTGATGTCAAGTGCCCCGAGGCCACCAAAGGCAACAACGACTGCGTGCATCCCAGTTCTCCCAAGTTCCTACAAAAACACAATACAAAGAAAACTGGCCATTGATGAACAATATGCAAAATTTGTTTAGGAAAAATGAAATTTTCTTGATTTCTTACAAAATCTAGAATTAGCATTGACAATTTTCTAAATTAAGGATCCACAATGCTTAACCTTCCATCTCAAACGATCTAATTAAGCCACATGCAGTGAGAAGAAATGGGTAATGTAAGAGGAACGGCTACCTGGAAGGAGCTAAGGATAAGCGGCGAGATTGGAAACGGGGGGAGGAGGTAGGCGGCTGACGGAGGTGGGGGAGTGGTGCGGAAGAGCGGGGGGTCGGCGCCCTGGCGGCGGACATAAGCGAACGCGAGAGTGATCCTCCACTGCGCCAAGCCATTAGAGAGCAGAAAACGTGGAACGGTTTTTGCGGAAATGAGAGGGAGGTGTGAAATGAAAATGAAGGTGTAGGGTACAGCTGTATCTTTCGGCCCATGGCCAGGCCCAACATGTTGAAAGCCTGCAATTGAGCTATGTTGCCTGTGAAGCGGGCTGTGGGCCAATGCTTATAGCAAAATCTCCTATAGATGAGAGAACTTTCCTTCCTCCCTGCCTCTATATTTATTTTAACTTATGATTATGGAACGAGAGAGCTCACAAAACAGCACTCATGAGAGGAGGAAGCATGCCTTTACACACTGTTAGAAAGTGCAAATTGTTCTCGATGATAAGCTGGCCGCGACTCTAACTCCTATGTAATGTATTCTCCCTTATCTGCTAACAGTGCTGACGGCAACAACTGAATTTCTTACTTATTGACCAGAGTTTTGAGGGGAACCTCTTCCCTCCTATGTTGAAATTTAGCCGAACAATCGATCTAGTTGCTGGGATAAATCTCAAGGAAAAAAGGTTAAAAAAATTAAAAACAATGCTTTTAATACGAGAAGGGTGTTCCAAAGTGCGTCCCCAAACCTTTCCTTCTGACAATTTTCAGGCCCAAATTAGCTCGAAAAATTCAGATAAATGGAAGGTGCTTGCTCACCTCTAGTTGTGGGGAATGGAGACGAAAGCAAATGGGGTCGTTGCTGATTTGCCATTGTATTAGTTTGGAGTAAAATATGATTTCATCCTTGCACTGTTAATTATTTTCTTTTGAGTGATTTATCAAAACAATTATTGTTGAAGTAATAAGTTATTTTCTTTGCCAATTTCTTTCTTAATCATCAAAATATTTTTGTTTTAAGATATAGCGTTTTCTCTTTTGTTATGAATTGACATTTTCTGGAAATTTTCATCATCCTTACATTCAAAATCAAAATCTAAGGATAAAATTACTTCATGTTATGAACAGATACGGACCCAAACATTGTGTATATTTTTTATTATTTTCAAACTAGTTTTTTTTGTTTGTGTATTTTAAAAGTATTTTTAAAAAATTTAATTTTTTTTCTTCAAATTAAATTTTTTATGTGTTTTTAAATATGTGTTTATGTTAAAAAATTTTTTATGTGTTTTTAAATATGTGTTAATGTTAAAAAAAAAATATTTTTATATATTTTTAAATAAAAAAAACCAGGTTGATTGAATTTAATACATGTTCATGGAAGATTGAAATTGAACAAAGAATATCTCTAAACTCGAGGGAAGGCCACTTCCGAAAGCGAGAACGACTTTGTACATTGCAACTGTGAATTAAATGTGTAAATTATCCCAGATGATAAGCTTGTCGTAACTGTAGTTCCTCTATAATGTAATCTTTGGAGAGAACAACTTCCATCCTTCTTCAACCAAAGGCCAACTTCTTGAAGATCTCCTTTGTCCCAGCATATGTTGACTGTATTCCCCCCACGTGCTTGCAATCCTTTCACACACCCTTTTGCCCATTTATCTCGGGGAAGAGCAGGAAGCAAGTACAAATCCGTCATGGTACTCTGGACAAGCATCTCCGAAACTGCGGCTGGGAACCTGGAACCAGAAGCGGAAGAAGAAGAAGAACTGTGTGAAATCATTAATATCAGAAACGCACAGATTTTTGTGGTATCTGATGGTCTCCCAGATCAAGATGAGCCCTTTTGAACGGGAAGTGTTCATTGCATTTTCAGCGACAACACAGACAATGCTGCTTACCCTAAATTGGCATCGATTTGAAAAGGAGGGTGTGCTGCAAATAAGTTGCTGTATAGTCCACCTTCGAAACCTATCTTCTGATCAGCCGGGTCTACCAACCTAATCAAATGCTTAACCATTGTATAAGCGTGCTCACTGTTCTGTAGACGTGCCCATACAGCAGTTTTCCATACAGTCGACCATCCTGGGCCATCCTCTCCTGTTAAATGAAAATCAAAAGCAACATTACCTGACTATTATACTCTGAGCAATGCCATGCCTCTGCTGAAGTTTCAAATATTAAAACCACGACCATTGAATGAGATGGATTTTTTGAACAGCATAATATTTTATGTAGGATCAAATAATAACTTCGAAGACACTTTCCATCCCCATTTGTGGACAACGTATATCAGCTGCACAATTCATTGAAAGTAAACTTGGAATGGTTTAGCATGCATATTGATGTTGAAACCAGAATATGACTCTTTATATCATCATTTTGCACACTTGCACCAAGAACTTCAATGAAATTCTGTAGCTACGTGAATTCTTCGATTCAGATTGAAACAACTAAAAGTCATTTACCATGCACAATGATCATCCGCGAAACGAAAATGCACCTTTTTAATATCATTTTGCGCTTGCATCAAGAGCTTCCGTGTTCAAAGCATGGCAACTTTTTTGAAGTTTGAAAGCTACTCTTGCACAGTTTTATACTTTGATGTAAGAAACCTTTCTCAAACATATAATCCATCGGAAACAGAAAGAACAGAAAAAGCAATGCAACAGGATGGAACAATTCCACTCAAATGCCCCTAGACTAATTTTATATTGAAGGGAAAAGGTCACAATTAATCTATGCTAACCTCTTTTGTAGAGAGTATTTTCTGCGGCTTTACAAAGTTCTGGATTTTTCTTCAAGGTTATTGAGTGCCCTGGAAACAGCCCAAATAGATGTGAAATATGTCGATGCTTCACCTCAGGATCCTTGAAATTGAGTGCCTGCACCACCACAGAGAATTTCACTTGTCAGATTCAGCAATTAAAATACAGGAAATGACTTCATTATGTGGATTAGAACCCATAATATAGAAAGCTACTCGCTTACCCATTCCATGATAGAACCATCTGGAGCAATTTTTGGTGGATAGAGCCTTGGTTGAGCCTTGAGCACTTTCTGAACAAGAGCATCCTCACTTCTGCCTAAAACCTGTTTCTACAGTTTTTTATCAACAGTTTTTTAACATACATAGTTTGTAGACAATTTAGAAAATACAATTGTGATTACTACAGCCGTTGAGAATAAAAGCTTTACCTCAGAAGCAGAAACAATTGCAGAAAATACTTCGTTGATGATAGCCATATCCATGGTTGACGAGTAGCTCACAGAAGCAGAATTACCATCTGGGGCAATAAACATGTGTTCTGGAGATGTTGACGGGTTGGTTTCAAGATATCCATCATTCCCTTCAATCAACCAGTCCACCAAAAATGATGCACATCCTTCCAAGAGAGGGTATGCCGTATTTATAAGAAAATCCTATCATTTAGAAATTATCAGCATAACAGACCCCCCAAAGTAAATTATGCTATTAACAAAAAATTATAAAGCGAACCTGGAACGAAATAAAAAACAAAATTTCTGGAGTTTCATTAGATGTTCATCAAGAATATGGTAAATAATAACAAAGGGGAAGGCATAATCTGATGCAAGTCGCAGCAGAACCTCTTAAGAACACAGAAACCATCCAATCTTAGTGATATCTTGTCCAAAAAAATGAGGCGGCCCGCCCCCTCAGTCATCAGATGAAAATGCATGGTACGGTCCCCATTGATGAATCACTTGAAAGTGAAAGAAAGGAAGAAGAATTTCAAGTTCTCTTTGAAAATGCCTTTAAGGGTTGGATGTACTAGCAGTCCTTCAAAATTTCATAACAGCAGCTATTAAGGAGAGCTACAGCTATTTAGTTCACGGAGAAGAAAATGAGCATGCCAGTGATCAAAGACAGAGGTAACAGACAATTTATGGAAAAATATGTCTCTTACTTTGTCTAGTGTATAAGTGTAGTGATCCCATAAGTGTGTACAAACCCAGGCCCCAGCCATTGGCCATATTGCCCACTTAGGATTTCCCATATCTGCGGATGCTTTCGCCCATATGTCAGACCTGTGATGCGCAACCCAACCACTTGTAATGTAGTTTACCTGCAAATTACGAGACACAAGTAAGAAAGATCTGGGATGAAGAATGAATAAACCAAAAACCACAAGGGATCAAGGGTATAGATTGGGATGTTGCTGGTTTGAGGCCTAGGGATGCTACACTGACATGAATATGCAGTACTGCACCTTCCTAGTAGAATGATGACGAGTGTAAGCAGGTAGAGCTGATTTGAGGACAAGACTCTCTAGGTAGCCTAGCTATTTTGACATGGAAACCCCAAATGTAGAAGTGAAAATACGAGACACCCCCTCCTCTTAGTATTACTGCTTTCAGTCGTGACTGCAAATCTGAGATTTCTTAATTATTGGCTAGAGTTTGAGGAGAACCACTGCCATTGAAATCAAATCAAACAGTCCAGAGAGCGGGATAAATTATGAATAAACGGTCAAATAAATAACAAAATGCTTTTAATATGAGAAAGAATGGAAAGGGATCTTACTTGTGCAACTTTACTTCCACTTATTGATAGAGATTTGATGAAATCAAACAAGGGCTCCTGGCATTCTCTGAGGTTGCAAGGCAGGGAAGGCCAATAGTTCATTTCAAGATTGATGTTCAAGGTTGGAGCAGAACTGAAGAAAGAGATACAGGGGTAAGTAGCAGTCCAAATGAAATGTTGATGCTCAAAGAAGTGGAAGTCATCATTTAACTTATGATGGATATTATTAATAACCAATAGTTCAGATATGGTCATGTACTTTTGAGCAGTAAAGAAACGTAGAGGTCAAATTCCTGATACTCTAAATCTCCTGTTTTCGATCTCCCATATGTTCCCCTCGAAAACTAACTTCTACACATATATAGATAGAAATAAAGAGGGAGATAAAAAATTAAGAAGATTGGAGAATGGAATATACTCCCATGCTGGATAAAGATCCTTGTTCCATATTCCTTGAAGATTAGCCACCTGGGTTCCGGGGCGTGAACAAGAAATAAGCAAATATCGACCAAACTGGAATAGAAGCTCCACCAAGGAAGGATCTTCATCAGATTCAAAGGACTTTATTCTCTCAACTGTTGGAATCACAACATCTTTGTTCCCTTTGAAATCTTCAATCACTGAAGGCATAAGATTCCTGATCTCTGATACTCCATCTCCAATAGCAGAGTTCTTCTCCAGCTGCAATGAAACACGGTGAAAAAGATTCTGAAAGTCATCTAAATGACGTGAATAAAGCTGAGAATATGACAGCTTTTTTATTGAGTTCATTGCTTGAAGAGAGTCAGAAGTAGGATTTTTCTTTGAATCTGAAGGATCCACGAATGGCCCTTCAAATGAAGATGAAGCCACCAGCAGCAACACAGCCCAATCTGCTCCAACAACCTTCAACTTGTTGTCATCCAGAAGACGTACCAAACGTGCGCCATTACTAATCTGTAAATCAAGAACAGCAGTGAACTTCATTCCCTTTGGATCATCATTTGCCTTAACTTCTGTTGTCATCCTTTTTCCTGGGCAAATTCCTTCCATTACAAGTTGATTTTCATCTGTTAGGTAACATTGATGCTCTAATATGCTGTCTAAAGATACAGCAAAGGATACAGACTGTGCTTTGCTTCCAGAAATCTTGGTCACAATCACTTGATCGGGATTAGATACAAAGTGTTCCCTTGTGAATTCTACATCATCCACGGTATACTTTACTCTTCCTGTTGCAGTATCTAAGTCTAGCTCCCTATAATATGTTCCTTCGGCATATGTGGAACCATTAAATTCTAGCTTGATATCACCAAGTAGTTTGTAAACCTAAATCATCAAAAGAAATTCATCAGAATATGCTCACTCTCTTCCATTGAATTAATCATTAAATGTTAAAATTGAATGTAACACAAAAATGGTGATATTAAATCCCATTAAGTTCTAAAATACCTCAGAACAGAAATTCATTACTAACACACAAGAACACAAAAATTAAGATGGTATATTAAAAAAACTGATCTCAATCATCTGTTTTCATTTAGAAAAGAGAAGGGCTTGAACAAGAAAACATCAACGCTAGAAAAGAGAGAGGAAAGAAAGAAAAGGAGGGCGTGTTACTTTAACATACATTGGTATATTTTCCAAACATCCTTGCTGCTGCTTTAGTTGCTTCTGAAAATTTACCACTGTCAACCAGATTTCTAACCTCTGATAATGCTTGTGGTATAGCAGGGTCAGTAAAATCAGTTGGAGTCCCTGTCCATAATGTGTCCTCTACAAAAAAAACAATTCAACAACATTATTTTCACAGTCTATATTCTAATGCATTGCAATAAATCAAACAGCAAACGTTAACTAACATTAAAATTGGGAAAACAAGTTACCATTCAGTTGGATAAGTTCTGATGAAACACCACCCCACACCATGGCACCAAGACGGCCATTACCGATCGGAATTCCATCCGTCCAGTACTTTGCCGGCCCGCTAAAAGTGACTTTTAACGGTCTGGAATCCTCCAACTCAGTTGAAGTTGGGTTCCACAAGTCTTTATCTGTTGGTCGTGTTACAAAAACCCACTCTCCACTTTCCATTGTCAGTACAAGTGGGTGAAGAAAGGAAGAGACTGTGAATTAGAAGAAAAAAGGAAAATAAGAAGGGAAGCGTAGAGTTTGTTTTGTGATTGTAAATGATATTTTCTTAAAATAGGTTGGCGCAGGAAAAGTGACAATTTTGTTTTTGTCTTGTTTTGTGGCTTGTCATACTTACCTGACGTGCTCTGTGTCCCTTGTTTTTAACTTTTTGTGTTTCTTTCAAGGCAAGAGAAGGAACTGGCAGCAACTGAGGAGCCAGGAGTGTTGCTCACTCGTCACGATATTACTGTTGATATTGAGAAACTTGAGGCTAATTGATCCAAGTCTCCCTAAACTATTATAGCCAACGAGAACTGAACTCCTAACTCCTCTATCCTCACCCTTTTTGGGAAAGGTTGGAGGAGGAGGAGGAGGAGGGACCAAAATAAGGAATCTGGAAGATAATTACGGATTTAATTGTTGTTTTTATCTCAAACAAACCCAGAGCAACTACTCCCATATATACTTGTTGATAGATAGTTGAAGGGCTTACTAGGCATCTCCTCAACATGCATGCCACGTACTCAGAACTAAACTAACCTCATTCTCGGTTTTAAGTTTCACTAGCAATTGATGTCTTAAACAGATCTTCCACATTTAGATTAATGCATTCCTCGAAGACTTATCACTTACATAGCCTTATTTTGATTTTGGATCCAAGCCTAAATTGATACTTCCATTCGCAAAATGATTTTATTGACTGGTGACCCAAAATAGGGTTTTAAAGTGTCATGCCTTTCCCTCATTTTCCACGGGCTTGTTTTGACAGGTAGGTGGTCACAGTAAGATCGCATTTGGTTGTGTGAAAGGCCGAACCTGACCCGAGTAAACTATGTTTTGTCCTGATAGAGCGCCCATTACCGACACTGGTTGCCCGTGACCTGATGTTTTTCATATTCGATCACTTTTAGAGACCTCATCTGATCAATTATCAACTAGGGAGTTACTAAGAAAGTGGGAGAAGTCGCAGCATTCATTTTTATGTTCTTTTGACGAATCATTTTAGTGAAAAGTCACCAGATAATATAAGCTGTTCTTCATAAACTTCTACTTGTTAATGCAGAGAAGATCAGATACCACTTCAATGAGCCTAAGAAAAATGATTTGCTTTTAAAGAAAAAAAAGCTCATATGCTTTGCAATTTCTAGATGATGTCAACATCATCCAAAAGCAGTCAAATTTTATCTAGTTGATTCCTTCATTACTGACTCATCAAAATATTTTGCAGTCACGAAGAAGGGACTCCTGCTCACAATTAGAGTTTTGACCATGTAATCTTAGTGAGAAATTTCATCTCCTTTCTCAAAGAATGCCCAATTCATACAGAAGTAAAATCAGTATTGACCGTATGAATAGAAATAGACCTCATACGACTATTTTTATCACCTTACAGGCTTACAGTACTGTACCAGAAACTCACAAAATCAGATTGTGCATCCGTAAAAGTCAGTCACCTACAATGAGACTGTTAGGCTTTCTCTAAAGGCATACATCCATTTGAAATGATAAATTTAAATATTTTTAAGATTCTCGAGGACTTCACAAGATAGATTTAGACTTTAAATCATCGTGATTAAATTATTATAAACCATAAATTATTTAAATATTTCTAATAATATTTTATATAAATCACCAATAAAAAAATCTTCACACCTTTAAGTGCTTATTCTTTTATTTTTGTGTTTAGGTGTTTTAATTGTGCTATTATACTATCACGTGCACAAAATAAAAAATATAATATTCTATTTATAGAAAAATATACAAATTCTATAAATAACAAAATATCAATATACCTTTTAAATAATATTAAATATATTATTTTACAATAATTTTAGAAGATTATTTAATCAAGTCCCTACTTGATTTTTTTCTAGGTCTACAATTATGGTCACCTATATTAATCACATTCTAATCTTCAATTTTTAAAATTTATTTAAAATCAAGTTACACTTTATTAGCCATCTCATTTTAATCTCTGACTAGTTGTTCTTATATGTATGACCTATTAGATTCCAAATAAGTTGATCAAAATATAAATTATAATATAAATAAAATATGATTAAATAAGTTATATAATTTAATTTATTATTAATTTAATAATTGATTGATTTATATTTGAAGATCAATTACAAGATTTAACAACTTGTTATGATCCCTCATATTAGAAAAGTCATAAGTGATTTGACTTAATATTTCAAATAACTAGTTTTCAATATAATTATTATTTCTTCATAAAGAATGTTTCAATTTATATATTATAGTATGGAGTATGTTTACTTTGTTAAATTATTTTTGTTCTCAACACTATAATAATTAATTATTTGAATAAGATTTGAAACTCTTTTCAAATCTCATTCTATCTTGACTAAGGATTTCACAAT